CCCGGCCACGAGATGTAATCAATCCCGGCTATGAAGGAAGCATTGTAGAATTGATTTTCGTGAAGAAAAAGTGGTGTTGATTTGAAGAAAAATTGAGTATTTTAATTTTCAAATTTCCATGTGCTTTTCGTATAGGTAACTTTCGCTCCCTCTGGTAGGCTTAATATGCCCCGGCCACGAGATGTAATCGATCCGGGATATGAAGGATGCATTGTAGAATCGATTTTCGTGAAAAAAAAGTGGTGTTGATTTGAAGAAAAATTGAGAATTTTAATTTTCAAATTTCCATGTGCTTTTCGTATAGGTAACTTTCGCTCCCTCTGGTAGGCTTAATATGCCCCGGCCACGAGATGTAATCGATCCCGGATATGAAGGAAGCATTGTAGAATTGATTTTCGTTAAGAAAAAGTGGTGTTGATTTGAAGAAAAATTGAGTAATTTAATTTTCAAATTTCCATGTGCTTTTCGTATAGGTAACTTTCTCTCCCTCTGGTATGCTTAATATGCCCCGGCCACGAGATGTAATCGATCCCGGATATGAAGGAAGCATTGTAGAATTGATTTTCGTGAAAAAAAGTGGTGTTGATTTGAAGAAAAATTGAGAATTTTAATTTTCAAATTTCCATGTGCTTTTCGAATAAGTAACTTTCGCTCCCTCTGGTAGGCTTAATATGCCCCGGCCACGAGATGTAATCAATCCCGGCTATGAAGGAAGCATTGTAGAATTGATTTTCGTGAAGAAAAAGTGGTGTTGATTTGAAGAAAAATTGAGTATTTTAATTTTCAAATTTCCATGTGCTTTTCGTATAGGTAACTTTCGCTCCCTCTGGTAGGCTTAATATGCCCCGGCCACGAGATGTAATCGATCCGGGATATGAAGGATGCATTGTAGAATCGATTTTCGTGAAAAAAAAATGGTGTTGATTCGAAGAAAAATTGAGAATTTTAATTTTCAAATTTCCATGTGCTTTTCGTATAGGTAACTTTCGCTCCCTCTGGTAGGCTTAAATTGCCCCGGCCACGGAATGTGATAGATAGTGTGATAACACTGACAACACACAATGTATATAATTTTGTGTAGATACTATAACACCGTTTTACATGGGAAGACGGTGCCGCACCGCCTGCTTACGTTGCGCCGGCTTCGCTGCTGTAGCGACGCGCGATGGTGTCCAGCGCGACGCGGCCGCTGGTGAGAAGAGGGACTATCGTTTGTTGCTGGCTGGCCGTTGTTGCTAGAATCACCGCGGTAAACTACTCTTCTAGGTAGAACAGATATCTGAGTAAATCCGACATCCCATTATACTGACTTGGGACACTGAATTTTGGGGCTTGTGACTATCAGGGCATTTGTTCAAGATACCCAGACACATAACATATAAAAAATTCAGCGAAATTACCCGAAACCACTATTTCACTCAAAGCGTATATTCCAGTATAATCAATAGATTATACCGACTTGGACGCTCTATATCATGGAACCCGTTTGGTTTTGTCCATTAAGGCATTTGTTTCGGATGCAGAGGTACATAACATATTAAAACTAAGCAAAACTAGCCGAAACCACTCTTTCACTTGAAGCAGATATTGAGTAGGGCCGATACTCCATTATGGCGACTTGGACGGCCTATATCTTGGGACCAGTTGAGGTTGGGGGCCTGTTGCCACTGAAATATTTGTTCAGGATGTCAAGGCGTGTAATATATCAAAAATTCAGCGAAATTAACCGAAACCACTTTTCCCATAGGCATGTTCCGGGTCCTTTGTCATTTTTGAAACTAAAATAAAAAATGTATACTTTTTAAAAAGAACATCTAATTCATCTTGGATGTTTTGCAAAATTTCAAATATTCATTTTTTACATGATGTAGAACGCTGACTTACTCATTCTATCATGACATTTCCCTTCTGATATTTTGATGAAAGCATTAGTGAGGACCTTTTCAATCATCTTCAATGCAAAATAAGATTTTTTTCCAGAAAATGATGATGGAGAAAAAAGAAGTAGATGCTCCTAATACATCTTTGGGCAATGCTCTATTATATCTGAATATCATTACCTTAATTAGAAATGCACCTTAAGAATTGCACACATGTTTTTATTAATGAAACTAAAATCAAAAATGTGTACTTTTTAAAAATAACATCCAATCCATCGCAAAAGTATTTTAAAACTTCAAATATTCATTTTTACATGATGGAGAACGCTGACTTACTGATTCTATCATGACGTTTCCCTAGCAGTCTGATATTTTGATAAAAATAGTAGTGAGGACCTTTTCAATCATCTTCAATACAATAATACTATACAACATTTGTTTCAGAAAATGAGGAGGGAGATCGAAGAAGTAGATGCTGCTAACACATCTTTGAGCAATGTACTATTTATTATATCTGAATATCATTACCTTAATCAGACAACCACTGTTATAGTAGCAGAACTATATTTCAGGAAAGTTATATAGCGAAAGCATAGTAGTTAGAGGTCGTTTTTGTAGAACAGTCTCTGAGATTATGCAGGGCGCTCTGCGGGCTTGTCTTGCTGACCTTCTTTGGGACTAGATTAGTTCTACCTCAATCAGTAAAATATCTAGGAATTATCCTGGACTGTAAACTGAACTGGAGAGAGCACGTTGAATTTGAGGTTAACAAGGCTCACAATTCATTGTGGGCTTGTAGACGCGTTGTCGGTGTAAGTTGGCTTAAACGCAAAGTGGTTCACTGGCTCTACACGACGATAGTGCGTCCATCTCTGTTGTACGGCTCCTTAGTTTGGTGGCCCTGCATTGGAGCTGAGACTACTAAGGCCAAACTCAATAAAATTCAGCGTTTGGCCTGTATAAGATTTACAAGCGGAATGCGGGCAACACCATCGAGTGCAATGGAAGCTCTGCTGGATCCCCCACCGTTGGATCTAGTGATCGGCGGAGAAGCGAGAGTAGTCGGTCATCGACTGTGGAGTCAGGGCAGCTGGGCCTTCTTGAATCCTGTCAAGGGTCATACTGCCAACCGCAAGTTTATTGTGGAGTATTCAACGAGGGAAGAGTGGACGCCGGTTGCCGGAGGCTCACCGGAGTGAGTGGGCAAGTCTGGTACCCGGACGGCTCGGTCACCGAAGAGGGCTCTAGGACTAGGCCATCTCTGGCTCTTGGTGGATACACCACCACTATTTTCCAGGCGGAAATCGTTGCGATTCTGGCGGATGTATCTCTCATTTTGGAGGGGTGTGCCTAGGAGAAGAATAACAATCTTCTCCGACAGCCAGGCTGCAGTGAAGGCACTAAGTGCCTGTAAGATCACTTCGAGCCTTGTATTGCAATGCAGGGAGGCTCTGGATTGTCTAGCAGCGTGGCATCTGGTATCATTAGTGTGGATACCGAGGCACGCTGCGATAAAGGGCACTGAGACGGCGGACGATCTGGCGAAGACAGAATCATCCAGCAAGCTCGTTGGTCCTGAGCCAGCTTTAGGGGTGCCCGCGCTAAGGGTTAGGAGGGAAATGGAGAAGTGGGTTGCAGAAATGGAGAAGCATCTCCAGATATCTACGTCAGGCATGGAAACCCATTGTAGGGCCCAGCGTTAAGGATGGACGTTTTTGCTTATCTTGGGATAGAGTCAACCTAAGGTTGCTGGTGGGACCATAACACGTTAAGGCACCACCTGCATGTGATGGGGGTGGCTGAGTATCCCTTGTGTGAGTGCTGCGGGGTAGAGGAAGAGACCTCGGCGCACGTTCTGTGTCGCTGTGAGGCTCTTAGCTACTATAGGCAGACTATACTGGGGTTCATCAGTTTGGACCCCCAAGACGTTAAGGAGCTTGGACTCAAGACCATACTCAACTTCGCCAGAATGCCGAGGTTTGAGGTTTAAGGAATTTAGAGGTGCACAAGGACCCGTCTAAGTGGCCCATGCGCTGGCGCCTTATGGTAGCCGGTATGTCGCTAATTCCATGTTTCATTTATTCATCCAAGTTATGTACTGTTTCAGGGAGCTAGTCTCTAAAATATTTCACATATTTAAAATGCTCAAAGTTCGCTTCAGACGCTCCTGACCTTTTTCAGGAAAAAACGGTTTGAAATTTTTTATGATTACGTTTTGGTTTAATTAAACTAGCTTCGTAGATTAAAGTATACTGTTTTAGAAGTCGGAGTTTAATTAAACTAATGAATCTTGTTAACTGTCACATAATTAATTAAATTTTTTGATTGGCCTTATTAAAATTTTACTTTGTTTTATTTAAATTCGGCATATCGTCCAATATAAATTATAATGCTACTGATACAGATCATACGTCATAATGATGACCTGAATATGATAATAAAGCTTGGGGTACCAGGCACAAAACGTGGAATTTGACCACACGTCAATTTTAAAGGACGTTCATATTGTGGAAGATCAAATGTCCCTACCAATGTGTGTTATTTTGAATACAAATAGTATAACAACTGTTTCATAAAAAAATGAAGGAAATTGTAAAAATCGTTACAGAGAGAAATAAACGAGTGTAGTAAAAAGACTAAGGATCAATTGTAAGACAACTGTATAAGACAAGTGCTGTATCGATATAACAACAGTTTAGGTAAGCCAACTTTGAGAGATATACTATTAAGCTTATTTGCTTATAACCTAGTTTTATGAAAATATTTCACATAACTTAAAAAACATTCGTTTTTACATATAAAATAAATTTTCAGATTCGTAATTTACGCTCCCGATGTACACAGGAAACCAGTCTTTATCGTTAGGGAGCCTCCATGGGTTTTAGAGTCAAAGTAACATTGGATTTGAAATCGAAGCATCCAATTTACTCAAGAAACGGCGTTTCGGATCACAGATTTTTGTTTATGGTACCATTGAAAGTTCCACCCAAAATACGGTGCACATTCAACATTTTTAGCAAAAGTTTCTTGTTCCTACATTTTATGTTGACGTACAATGAGGTATAAAATGGATCGCTTGGGGCTGTGTCCCGTGGCTCCTAGCATCAAAATTTAGTTAAGATGCATCTTATCAGCACGTTACCGAATTCTATGATCAAAAAGGAAAATGATCTAGTGTGTTATATGATTACTCATTATGACATTAACAATCTATCCCTGGAAAGAATCCAAGGGATTTTACCTCCAGAATGAAATAAAATGGAGGTACAATCTATAAAAAAAAATAATACAAGGAAAATTAACACAAGAAAATTATATACGTCTTGGCAATACTCAGCCAACCTGCTAAACTACATTTTTATGTATTTACCACCGTTGAAAGAGCCTCTTGGCACATGATGGTCGATAACAAACAATTAAAAAAAAAGTTCCCAAGTAGCCTTCGTTGGAAGTTTTACAGGTAAAAGGGATAATGTAAATAGTGTCAAAGCGCGAAATTGAGTGATTAGGTAGGTTCAATTAGGTACGATAGATCTTAGACTTCTGCATATAAAGCAAATCTACTATATTTCTGTTTCCATGGCAGATGTATTACTTATTATAGTATCACTGAGATCAGCAGCTTCTTAATGATGGAAGGTTTTTCACTGACACCACTTTCAAATTTTGAACCTCTTATCATTCACGATAAGTACTAATGTTCGCTAGAAGGTTGTCATATACTTATTTATATACATATATATAGCACAAGTGATACATTTTAAAATGAGACAATACACACAGAATTCCCTTAGATGTAAAAACTTCTCTACATAAATCGTGAGGTTTCATTCCAAACATTAACCTGATAATTTGCTTTTGGGCTCCTCTAATATTGTGAGATAAGTGACTATATGCTAATGCTTAATAAACTTCCACTAATCCTTTGGAGTTCAAAAAATCTTTCATTTGTCGAAAGCATGCTACGGTTTACTTAAACTTGTGCAACATGATCAATATGTTCACAAAAGTTTAGTCTACTGTCAAAGTACGTACCGAGAAGTTTGCAGGAATCAGTTAAAGAAAGGTCATACATTTCTAGCTGAATCCTAATTGTACGTTGGATATTAGAATAGTGTATCTCGACTAACAGGAAGCGCAGTTTAGCGCTCATCCGGTATCATCATCATTTCGGCTGGTCAGAGTCAGATCACCCACGACTTGATCTGGCACGAACTCATCTCGTCAATAGCGATAGCTGCTAGGAAAAGGCTAGGCTAGTAGTTTGGGGCTCTGCAGTACTTTTCTCCATATAATCTCCTCACCTTGTAGATCCAGATAAGATAAAGACGCGAGTACTGCTCACATGTTTGAAGTGCTGCTGCCCTGACTACATTGTCCTTGTTCGATGCTGTTTAGAGGAGGGCTGTCCGACTGATCACTGATCATCTTCTATCGGATATTCTCGCGATTCTTTCGCACCGACAGGACGTCGGCGATCAACAGTTATGTCAAAGGGCTTTGCTCCTCAGAGATCTCACCCATGATGCCGCCGCTCGATGTCCCTGTTAGACAGGCCCTCGTGACTTCGGCTTACCATGCCTACCGTGTCGAACTTCGTTACATCCAGAACTGACCGACACGGCCGCCCCTGAGTTCCTAGGGTATTGAGTTTGTGGAACAATCTACCTAAGGTAGTAAATCAATCCTGGGGCCCTGACTCTGTTTTCTAGTAAACAGAGTAAGGGCCCCAGGATTTGCTTACTACCCTGTGTGACGGCCGAAAATATATTGAAGAGCAATACAAAAAATGGTCCCGCTTTGGACCTCCCCCCCCCCCTAAGAAACTTACTACTCCCGAAGACGCATTATACCCATGACCATAGATCCTCTTAAAGCTGCTACACACAGTTGCCGCCGGCAATACAAGCCGCCGGCATAAGCCGTCAAGCATCATTCCGGTTGTGCCAGTCACATAGAAAGCTAGTGAAGTGCTGCATTTCTGGGATTCCATAATATATCATTTTCATGAAATTTTTCAATTAAGAGCAGCACAGCTTCGTCGTCCCAATTAAACGACATTTTAATTTGTTTAAACACACAAACCGCACAACACTACCGCTCGAATGCCAGGAACGAAGTGACGCCGGCAAGCCGCCTAACCCGCCGGCACACCACGGCGGCTCCTTTGCGCGGCAAGGCCGGCGGCTTTGTATGCCGCCGGCTGTACGGCGGCTTAGCCGGCGGCCCTGTGTGTAGCAGCCTTTACTCTATCCACCATCAGCGATAACAGTAATATATGGAGTGCCATCAGGCATAACATGACCTTTCTAAATTGCAACTGACTTCTCTTCTTTGCCAGTAGCTTTCATATCGTCTGCAGGAAATTATTTCCATACCTTGATGGAAATGCAAATAATATTTGAATAATATTTGATGGGTTATGCAGAGAGGGTAGGTGTTATGAAGGGTTTATGTCGTACTTCCATTGCCTATACGATTTGAGCTGAACGACGTTTCGCTTGGAATAGGAGAAGGGAGGGCAAGATGGAAGGAGTAGGCAAGATGGAAACTACCTACCAAACCCAAACCGTGTAACGAAGCGCACGAGTCCACACGGACATAGAGGCATGCGGCCATCTTGCATTTACGAACGACAGCTCAGTCCGGTACGATCACCTAGCGAGTGTCCACGCTTGCTTCTTATTTTCGTTGCAAAATATTACGCAGTTATTGGATTTTTATGATAGGATTATTTAAACAAGGTGAGTAATATTACCATTATGAGTTTATACAGGGTGACTTCGAAGTTGAGTCATTTATTTTAACAGTGAGTAGATCTGATCAAAAGAAATGTTTTTTTCCTTTACCATTTTTCTGGTAAAATTAAAGTAAGAAAGTTATAGCCCTTTGGAAGTTTGAGTACCGCCCTGTCTCAATAATAATATCATGTACTCGTGTTTGGCAACAACGGATATAATCCACCTTATCGGTTCATCGCATGGGAAACAAAAAAGCGAAAGAATTTGGAACGATGTTTTTATTCCATTCAGTTCAGTTATACATACAGTCAGTGTCAGTCGCGTGTGAATAGTGTCTGTTGCGTGGCTCAAACGAAATAAAAAATGGCACATGTTTATGCGGATCGGTTTCCCAATCGAGTGCAACCAACCCCTCGTGCCTTTGTTAATGTAGTACAACGGGCTCGTGAATCAGGTGACTTAAGACCTCACAGGGCACCTCACGATCAAATACAGGTCCGCACTGAAATACTTGTTGGGAGGATACTTTATAAAACAAGGTAAACATTTATTTTTATTTTTTTTCTATTTTTACACACATATTTTGGTTTATCTTCCTTCTACAATCATTATCTGAAAATTAATGACTCAACTTCAAAGTCACCCTGTATAAAGTATCTATGCTGAATCGGTTGTATAAATTGATATTTAAATAAGAGAAATAATAATGCATTTTCAAATTATTGATATTATTATTGGAATGGGTCATATGAGCAAGATGGAAAATTGCAATTTGGGGCAAGTTGGAAGAGTTTCTTGCCCGCGCACATTTTGATATCTGTTTTCAATTTCTATAACTAATATTGTTGTTTTTAATTTGTTTTTAGATGGTGAACAAGTATATAAGGAAAAGCAATAGAGGTTCTTGGACCGAAGAAACGATGCAGATGGCAATGAATGAAGCTAAAACTAGATCAATAAGCTCGGCGTCAAAAAAATATGGAATTCCAATTGGAACTTTACATCGTCATATTAAAAAAGGGGACTCGTCCAAAAGCCTAGGAAGGTTTAAACCTGTTTTTTCAAAAGAACTGGAGAGGGAAATATGTGATCTTGCAATGGAACGTGATATACTTTTTTATGGTTTAACAAAGCGAAGTCTACAACAACTAGCTTATGAGGTAGCGAAAGTAAATAATATTCCGCATCCTTTTGCATGTGAAAAAGCTGGAAAGGCATGGCTTGATGGTTTCATGAAAAGACATCCCCAACTGGCGTTCAGGACACCAGAACCCACAGCTTTAGCTCCTTGTTCTGCTCTTAATCGCACGCAAGTGAATCGGTTCTATGATAACCTGTGGAGCATTATATCTCACCATAACTTTTTGACAAGACCCGATGACATCTATAATATGGATGAGACTGGTGTCAAGACCAGTGCTTCCAAACCTCCAAGAGTTATTTCTGTAAAAGGTAAAAAACAAGTAGGAGTTATAGCAACAGCAGAAAAAGGGCAACTTACCACAGTAATCTGTGCTTGCAGCGCAACTTGTCGATTCATCCCTCCTTGCTTCATGTTTGGACAAAGAAAAAGAATGAATGAACGCCTTCTAGATGGAGCTCCTAATGGTTCTCTAGCTTGGGTTTCAGATTCTGGTTGGATAACTAACAGCACTTTTAACAACTGGCTAAAATTTTTTATTGATATAACAAGACCAAAACAAGACAGGCCAGTTTTATTGATTCTAGACAACCATTCTACTCATCAAAACTTGGAAGCTTTGAATTTAGCTCGACAGAACCATGTAATTATGGTCAGTATTCCCCCCCATACGAGCCATAAGCTACAACCATTGGATGTGTCAGTTTACCGTTCATTCAAAGTAGCTTTTGAGCAAGCGCTAGATACTTTTCAAAAGAATCATCCCGGAAGAAGGGTAAATCAGTTTGATATAGCTAGACTTGTCTGCATTGCCTATGAAAAAAGTGCTACTGTACAAAATGCCACAAGTGGGCTCAGAAAGGCTGGCATCTTCCCATACAATAGACATTTATTTACAGATTTGGATTTTGCACCTGCAACTCTTTTTATGAAAATGCTGCAGTTATTGAAGAGCAATCAAATACTGCTGTAACAGATGAAGGAGACAAAAATAAAGACCCTGTCGTTGCGGAAAACATAGGTTTAAATAATGATAATGTGACAGAAATTGAAAATCCATGTGATGTCATCAATGATCCTGTTGAGAAAAACAATACTGATGAACCACCCGCTGGCAACGATAGTGAAGACAAACAGAAAGAAGAAAAGGAACTTAATTCTGATGATAAAAAAAATGAAATGACTGAAGATAGTACGCTTGAAACTCGTTCCGGTGTTTTTGATAAGAGCTGGGACCAACCATCCACTTCGCACTATATTTCTCCAATCAAAATTCTTCCATCACCAAAAGTTACTCCTACTATAAAGAAGCGGAAAGCGAGATGTCAAAGGTCAGAAGTCTTAACCAGTTCTCCATTCAAAAATCCTATTAAAATGAAAATTGAGATGAAAGGGAAACCAAATTTATTATTTAATCGGACCATTAAAGGCAAGGAAAATCAAAACAAGGAAGTACGAACATGCGAGAATAAAGGAAAAGGGAAAGGAAAAGGAGTAAAAACAGAAAAAGATAAACATATTGTACCAAATATAGAGCAGTCTTCACAAAATGATGTGTTCTGTGTATTATGTGGGGAACCTTATGTGGAACCGCCCACAGAGGACTGGGTAGTGGTTGGGCACATGAATTGTGTACCGACACAGAGGATGGTAGTTTTATGTGTATAATCTGTAAAATGTAGTGATTTCCTGTACATTCCATCTTGTCCGAACAAGCTTTCCATCCTGCCCCCAAGGTAAGGGTAAGATGGAATTTATAAAGTTATTTTTTAGCTACTCATAGAAAAAAAGCTACTTATTATTCTTAATGTTTAATGGCCTAAGCTTGTAACTGTATAAGGTCTGTTCCAAGACTGATTAAAATAAAAGTTCTATATCACGTTATTTTATTTTTTTATACATCATAAAGTTAAGCCTTCCATCTTGCCCTCCCTTCCCCTAATATCTATAGTCAGGTGAAACTTATTTGTTCTTTAGTTGTAGCTATCATTTGAGTTATCGGGTAAACGTTTTAATTAGCATTTTGCTAGTTAGGTTTAGGGATCGATAACCATGATTAGCCTCCACAACTACAAAATAAACAATCAAATGTTTTTATGGTCAAATCGCGAACTTGGAGAATGTGTAACCTTTGTAGCTACTATGATGAATTTTGGAGAATATTAGCCAATTCGGAGAGACTTTTTGTTGTTACGAAAGCTCAAAGTCCCCCACGCAGGTTTTGGAATCACCCAGGAAGCCTGGAAAAGGTTCTTGGCTTTTTTTATTTTCAAATTTCATTCCTAAATGATATGCTGTTCACGTTACGCCAAAATTTAAAAAAAAAATACTAAAAAACAAGACACGAAAAGTACAGAGTAGGTACATATCTTGAGAATTATTAAGTGCATTACTCTAATGAGAATACTTATCTCCTTAGGTAAATAATATAAAAATGTTCACAGCTGTAAAGACTAATCATGAAGTTGAGATGCGTGTAGCTATTAATTAGCTAAAGTAAAGTTCCCCTCAAGGATTCAACATTTGATTGAAGTACGAACTAATAGATATTCTGTTTTGTATAACTTCTTTTTGTTCTCCATGAGCTATCCTATATACAACATACCTTCTTGACATTCTCAGTTTCTGTCCGAAAAGATCGAGTGGTCATAGAGGGAACATCTAAAATTGCCATAATTCCCCATATTGACGGCGACCTATGCCAGTTGGTATGCTCCCCAAGCTGCTCTGGAATTGACGGTTTTTTTTTTGTGTTATTGTTTGACTCTGATTATATAACCATAGCTTTATTACAATTTTCAAAAAAAAATCTAACTTTACGACATGTCCTCTGTTTGTTTCTTTTACGAAGTCCATCCAACCCATTGTGCATTTCCTCCAATGATTGCACACTTTACGTTACTACGACAAAATATGGCCCAAATTAACAATCCTGCTGCCATCAGTTCTGTCAGCAATGCTTGGGTAATTTAGGTCCCTCACTGATTCAAAAGCATAATCCTTATCGAAAGACACTCTATTGAACGCGGATTTGCAAACATAACTTTTGACACCAACTGAACAAGCCTCAGATAATTCTTGACAACAGCCTGGATGAAAAAGCAAGATGTAGAGATCGAAATCTGAAGGCAAGGCTGGAGACGAGCTAAAACATGAATATGACTTTTTTTAACCAAACTCGAGAAAATGGGAACTTCTATGGAAAATGTTTGATCCAATCTTTTGTGTGACAATATGACGTTAAAATATAGTTCGCATGTGTCAATTTTATCATCTCGTGAAAATAGCTGTATCAAAACATCTCCGAAGTTCCTTCTTTTGTTTTTTGTTTGACCAGCTTCGGGTTGGACTTGAGCTAAAGTATAAGCACTGTTTGTTCATGTACAATTATACACTTCAAGGCTAAGCGACAACTGTTAAGCAATAGGGTACTAAAACTCTACTATCCTAGTTTTCTCAAAAGTTAATTTTTATAATAAATACTTTGTATATTTTTGATGCATAATCATTGCATACGTTTATTCAAAATTATTGCTATATGCTTCTTCAACTTGTCATTCGACGTGTGGTATCACGCTCCTTAGAATGTATGTCCATAATATTTAAATTGGAATTGAATGGGAATTACTGAGTAAATCCACTTGACCTCTTTGCTCAAATTCCTGGCAATTGGACGATAAGTCCGTGATAAGTCTGATCTACAGCAAATGAAAATACCCTCGAATAATGAGTGTACTTTATTTCGAGTTCTGACAATTTACTGGCCGATAATTTGCTGACTAATTTGACAGTCATCAAACAGTCAGAAGTTCCTGTTCGAACAGCGGATTACTTGTCGGTAATCGGTCCAGACTCCCTTAGCCAACTCGTTACGTGTGACGTGTCAGTGACAGCTAACTGAATAAACTAGGACATGACTTGTCGCCGACTATCAGTTTGCTGCTTGTCATCAAACAGGCTGTACGAACAAACCACTAGTTAATCATTTGCAATTTAATATCAACAGTATTTCCGACAATATCAAAATATGAACATTTGAAGACAAAATCAGAACATTTGTCATTAAAATGACTTACCTATCGCCCTCGAATTTCGAAGTATTATTCGGCACACAGCTTACTAGTTACCTACATCGGAAGAGGTTGATTTCGTTATTTCTTTCCTGTACAAGAAATTTTAGTCTGGAATAAATGCACACACGTTATTCTAGTAATTCTAGTTTTTATTTCCCGAAATCCCGTACCATCATCTAGAATAGATTTGGCTGCGAGTACGCCTCACTAATTTTTCGTTCGTTCAGTGGTGTCGCATTTAAAAGGGACAATTTAGGATATGTGCAAACAGATCAAGAAATGATTTTCTCCATATTATATAATGAGCTCTACTATCAAACATCTACCAATTCGACAGGTGGGCGAGTTGGGCAGCCGTTAACGTTGAAGTGAAATAAAGCTGATGTCCGAGGAATACTCTACCAAAAAAACCTCTTTCGGCTGTGATTGACTTGACGTTTTAAACCTCTATTACAGTTTATTATTCCGTTCAATTACATCTCTATTCGAACATATGTTTCACTTCTACGAGCACACTTTTTACGTGTTTATGTGCCCCTATGCGGCGCTTCCCCCATTTTCAGGACAAAGTTTTTGTTCGAAGGCCGTAAACTTTATGGTTTACGATAGTTTGGACCACTTTGGATATTTTGACATCTATTTCATTTTGTAAACTGCGCTAATTTTCTTATGAAATGTACAGACGTGTGTCCATCTTACAGTTCCCCCGGCTCAGCTATGAGCATCTTTTTGAAAACGATAGACAGAAAAATAGGATGCTCAATAGAACTGATTAATCATGATAAATCTCCATGTACCATGTGTCTTCTCCGGCTGACCTAGTCAAAGTAACTATTATAATACACCCGTATACGACTGACGCAGAACAACTCTAGTCCAATGGCAGCAAAACAACAATCAGAATGGCGGCAGGTTATCTGAACAATAAAAGGGAAATAAATCTTATGGTATAAGCAATAAAAATGGGTAGGAGTTACTGAACTTGCACGTGTAGGTACCTTTCACACCCATTTTTATTGCTTATACCCTAAAATTTACTTTCCTTTTAATTTTCAGATGACCTGCCGCCATTCTGGTTGCTAATTACGTGCCATTGGTCTGGTATATACGGGGGTATTACATTATTTGCTTTGACTAGATCAGACTAGATCACTTCGTACAGGGAGATTTATCATGATTAATCACTTCTAATGAGCATTCTATTTACCTTATCAAAACATCTGGAAGTGGACCGAACCATCACAACCCAGTAACGAGTGCTTGCAGGTTTTTGGGCCAGTCTGAACAAAAGAGGTGCTTTTCGACCCATGATTTGCAGCCTTCTAACAAAAACTTTATCCTGAGAATGGGGGAAGCACCCCATAGGGGCACATAAACACAGAAAAAGGGTGCTCGTAGAAGAAAAACATATGTTTGAATAGAGATGTAATAAAATGGAATAATCAACTGTGGTAGAGATTCAAAACATTAAGGAGACTACAGCCGAGAGAGGTTTCTATGGCACAGCTTTCCTTATGGGTTGCGATGATTCGTTCCACCTCTAGATGCTTTGACATCTTTTCTATTATGTAATCTGCCCTTATTTTCTTATCAACTGCACAAATGTGACTTCATGTTACACGGTTTATGCACTTCTCCATCACATATATACAACCGAAAGTTGAGCTAGTCCTTCAGTTGTTTTATATCCTCTAAAAATAAGTTTTTTTGAAAACCGGTACAATATACCCGACTTTTCCCTAAGAGTCAAGTATCTATATTTTAGAGATTCCTAGATGCTCCTAACAAGACATCTGCGTCCTAGAAGGCCAGCTGTCATTTTTTTGATCGGCCTTACAATAAACCATTGGTTTTCCTGAACTGAACTGAAATGAAGATAAAGTTGAGTGTCGCACTAAGAGGGCGCGGATGGGGTGGATCGCTCCGTGCCTCCAGTATAAAGCCTCCAAATGTCGAGAAAACCCATTTTATATTCATTAAATGAACATTTTTTATAATTGCTTAATAAAATAAGACAGAAGGAACATCCAGATTCTTGCTACCAAGGGATGATTTGAAGCTTGCATGTTTCAATGCTTAGACCGATTTGTACAAAACTAACCGACGATATGCGGCCATGGATTAAATTAACAAAATCTTCCTAATTGCTGAGACAAAGTTTATGATGATTGAAGCTTCTGATGATACTTTAGCAGTAGCAAAAAGCAAATGTTGGTAATCTACTATGAATTTAATAGAGAGCAGGTGATACACGAAATGAAAATGTATTGTAGGCATTTACTTGCAACCGAGTATGGAAACTGTTTCTAGATGGAGCGCCCAAGAAGTTCTTCAATTTATTATTAAATGGTACCGATTGCACTGTATATCATTGATATTACAATATGTTTTGACTATTTGCAATAGCAATTCGAGGGAGGTTCTCCGTTCTACAGTGACCCGAAACGATTGGTTAATTTATCTATGTTATTAATTTAAAGGAAGCTTTAGGCACCAATACGTTTATAACATGCAGTTTTGTTTTCTGAGTAATCAAAAGCTGTCTGATATTTTTTAAAGATGTACAAATACATATACGGATACATGTATCTTTCTGTTAAAGAAACTATTATTTTATTGCAACTTAGTGTTGTTGATAGGAATCGAAGATTTTTTAAGAATAGTCCTTACTTGTTAACCTTTTCGTTTTAAGGCATGTCATGATTACCAGTATTTCACTCATTCTTCTAGGCATGCAAAATTCTGTAGCCCATACTTATAATAAATTTAAGAATATAATTTTTTACCCATCATAGAATAAACAATTTTTTTCTTTAGTATTATAGCCGATACTTATACGTCCATTCGGAGTAAAATAACTAAAAAATAGTAGTTTTGCTGTGAGCTTGTATTATAATTTATAATAACTGCGGGAGCGACTCAAAGCCGCCTCAGAGTTCTTGAGTTTGGTAAGCCTTGTAGAAGGAATATGCCATCCCATAGCAATAACTCGGACTTTCAAATAATTGTCGGACTTTACTACTATTTAAAGCTGCCTGCTACTGGGGTAACATCTTTTGATAGTCCCCCAAGTAACATATGAATTTCAGCTTTTATACGATGACGAAAGTTTAACTACAAAATTTATTAAAGTTTCATGGGTATCTGGCAGGGTTTGAAAGTGTACTAAGTGCCTGGCAATGGATGAGGTCATCTCTAATACCATTCTGAAAGAAATATAAAAAATTGGGCTCTTTACTTCAACGAATTTGAGGTACTATTTTAGACACCTTTGCTATCTTTTACCTGCCAAAATAGCCACCATCCATATTTTGTAGTCGCTGATTGTTTTTACATCTGTTGGAGACATGCTCAGAGAAACTTCCAGGTTTTATGAAATAGCGAAGGTCTGGCCGTCGCGGGCTCATACTATATGAGATACAGCCTCCGATTTGACAAATCATCTGCTTCTACAAAAATTTTTCATGTTCGATCTCAACCTGGGATTCCTGACATGAATTGCAACTTTAATGCACCAGAATATGAGACATACATTCTCAAAGTTGGAGAGTCGAAATATCATAGGTAGATAAGAGAAAATGTCGAAAAGGTCTATATCTTTGAAAATTCTCCATCTCTGCGCACAGTCGTACCGAATTTCGGACACAGGATGATCTGGCTTATACTTTTGTCTCCAAATCGAGAAATGCATTACAACGATAGAAGAGAAAATATTGAAAACGTCTGTTCATTTGGTAATATTTCATTTTCAGTCTGGCCGATTTTGGGTTACAAAATACAAAAACTTATATATAGAAGTGACTTTATTGGTAGTTTATGTACACTACAATGTGTATGATTCAGTCCGAACTGAACAATGTAGATGACAATAGCAGAGATAATATTGATATCTGTTTTTCTGGAACTCATTCAGGTTCGGTCTAACCGATTTTGGGGTACAGATTTTTGTAGCTTATGCCTCGAGCTGCAACTTCTGTGTACTGGAATTTGTGAGATGAAGTCTTCCAGTTGGGAAATATAGATAAGATATAAGAGAAAATTTCACAATTTATTTGATATTTCTTGATAGCTGCAACGCAGTCTCACCGGATTTCGAACACAGGTCGGTCCTACTAGGATCTATGACCTAAGTTGCACCTTCTGTGTACATGAATCTGTGAAACGCAGTCTCCGAAGTGAAAAATGTAGGTAACGATGAAAGAGAAGACATCGAAAGGTTGTATGTCTTCAGTAATCCAGTATCACTTTAACAGAGAAATATTCTGTTTCACCGGCTTTTGGTACTCAAAATGTTGATGTGTGAGCCTAGCTACAATATATGTGTACCATAGTATGTGGAATACTCACCGAAATGAAGGATGAAAACATCTTTTTCTGGACAACGTTAGTCGGTACGTAGTCTTATTGAGTTTTGGTGCACTGAGTGGTGCAACTACATATGTATATGAATAATTTTAGTTGCCACTTTTGTGAGCCGCATTCAGTGAGGCGCGGTCTTTGAATTATGAAATATAGAACATCATGTTTTCATCAAGTAGATTGACTCTATACTTCCTAAGTCTTCGCTGGAGGTTTCAAACGTTTCAAAAGGCAAAATCTAATTGTGATTACGTAGGTTATGCTGAATCTTCGACCTCTGCATATCATATATAAAGCAAATTCCACGGCAGATGTAGGGAATGTATGTGTGACTTATTATGTCTAATAGGTGCCTAGTATCACTGAGATCAGTAGCTTCTTAATAGAACCACATTCCACATTCAAATTTTTAAAATATAGTATTACATTGATGATCAATGTTCGTTAGAAGGTTGTTATCAGTATATTTTAACATAAGTGATACATTTTAAAATGATACAATAGATGCTAAAAATTTCCTTGGACCTAACAACTTTTCTACATGAATCGTGAGGTTTCATTCCAAACATTAATCTAATAATTTTTGCAACGCTAATATTGGAAGATAAGAGGCTATATGCTAATGCGTAATAGACTTCCATTAATCCTTCTTCGTTCAAAAAATCTTTCATTAGTTTGTCGAATAGCAATACGCTTTACTTAAACCTATGCAACATGATCAATATGTTCACAAAAATTTAGTCTATCATCAAAGTACGTACCGAAAAATTTGCAGGAATCAGTTAAAGAAAGGTCATACAGACTTAGTTCAGTCCTAATAGTACGTTGGATATTACAGTACTGTACCTTGACTAACAGGAAGCGCACTTTAGCGCTCATCCGGTATCGATAAATGACCGCGCTCTTCCACAGAGCCGTGCATTTCGGCTGATCAGAGTCAGTTCACCCAGGACTGGATCCGGCACGAACGCATCTCGTCAATAGCGATATCTGCTAGGAAAAATCTCCGCTATTTGTCTAGGACTCAGCAGTACTTTTCTCCATATAACCTCCTCACTTTATAGACCCAGATAAGACAGCTGCGAGTACTGCTCACATGTTTAGAGGGATGCTACCCTGACTACATTCTTCTTGCTCGATACTGTTCAGAGGAGGGCTGCCCGATCAGTCGATGACTATTCTATAAAGGACAGTCTCGCGACCCCTTCGCACCGAGGGACATCAGAGATCTAGCTCTCTTCTACCGCTATGTCATCGGGCTTTGCTCCTCAAAGCTCTCACCCATGATACCGCCGCGCGAAGTGCCTGCCAGACAGATTCGCCTGACTTCGGCTTCCCATCCTAAGCGTGTCCCTAGGATATTGAGATTGTGGAACAACCTACCTGAGGAGCCTTTTCCCAGTTCTACTAATCAGATTAATAAAGATACTTAAAGCTCCTCATAGCAGCCGCCATGCCCTGGTATTTAGGCTTCTGGCTATACGACTGCTTCGGTGCATGCGGCCCCTACTCCCGCCATTTACACTACAAGTATGATGCTTGCACTTTGCAGGCACACTATCACAAAAAATTATCTGATTGAAATGATCCCCTCCCTCCTCCTGAGAAAAATGCCAACGGGTGTCCATGTGAACCTGCACAAGCAAACGTACGCGCACAGAGGGAAATTGTTTTTTGTAATCGTAAAGGCCGTATCTTCACTCGTTCCTGCAATTGTAGGACGCCTTTATGGCCTTCTTGATTTCCGTAGTTTTCTACTATTCCGTGTCAGCGCTTTATTTTGAGGTTATGTTACAAATATCTATTTCCATCAAATTGTTAATGCTTCTGATTTATACCATCTGTTTTATCAGCCTGAAATTTCCTACAATTCAAAAAGACAACATAACTTCAAAATAGGAGAACGCTGACACGGTACAGTAGGAATCAAGAAATACCCCAGACTTTCTGAAACAGAGGAAAGACTTTAGGTAACTTATAAGGTGTTTTGATTTCCAGGCTGCTCAGCTTCAAGTGCACACTTCACGGATTAAATAGCTTAGAGCATTCGCTGTGATTCAAACCAGCTCGTGCTCAAACTATTCTACTCAGTAATCTAAACGTGCATCATGAAAAGGAATGAAGAAGCGAGGAGAAAGGATACGCAATAATGAACAGGACAACGAACGATATGTAGTATTTGTCATACGAACTGTTGCTTATGTTGGTCTGGCTGTACCTTGGATTAGCAAGACCCTCATAAGCAGTGACTCGTCACACATAAATGGCTGATTGCTAACAACGAATCTGAAGACTCAGTTATCTACATTTCCTGAACTATAAAAACCAACACTGAAATTCCACACGTATTGCCATCTGTGATTGAATAATAAACTACAATTTAGTTAAAATCTTTCGCTTGAGATGTCGCCAGTATGTCGTAGTAAAAGTAGTTCCCTGTGTTAGGGATTAGGATCCAGGAAATTGGAACAATGTTGTCAATCATGTGCAATTTAGTATAAACAGTATTTCTGACTATATCAAAACATGAACATTTCAAGACAAATCCACTTCAATTTCGAAACATTATTCGGCACACAGCTTACCTACTAGGTACCTCCTCGGAAGAGTTTAGTTTCGTTATTTCATTCCTGTACAAGAAATTTTCCTACTACGCAATCGGAAATAAAAGCACACACATGTTCCTAGTAACTGTATTTAGAATAGATTTGGCTGCGAATACGCGTCACTAATTGTTCGTTCGTTCAGTGGTGTCGCATTGAAAAGGGATAATTTAGGATATGTACAAACAGATCAACAAATGATTTTCTTCATATTATTTGATGAGGTCTTCTATCAAACACCTACCAATTCGGCAGGTGGGAGAGTTGGACAGTCGTTAATGTTAAAGTGAAAACAAGCCGATGTCCGAGGAATAAGGTAGGTGCGGGCAATTACGCCCGGTGGTTAATAACGCCCGCTTTTAAATTTGGCGCTTCGCACTGGATTATTTGAAGCTAACCCAGGTTATAAGGAACATAAATCAAATTCAAGCGAATAACCAAATGGAAACGGTATTTACCATTCTGGATTGGTATTTACCGATCCGTTCAATCGAGCGTGGTTATCATTTTGGTTATAAGATCCGTGACGTCATGAATCAGCTGTTATATGTCATAGTTATCACCGCAAAATTGTGGTATTTACCCAACTCCGGAGCAGTTTTATATTAGTTACAATTTTGGCGGGTATTGGATATTTTCGTCGTACTTGTGAGGTTATATGCGCGTTTAAAAAAACAGTTTTGCAGTTCCTTATTAAATTGAAAATAATATGGAGCAATTTCATCTAACTTTAAACTATGAAGGCGTAGACTACGAGGTCTGCGTTAAAGACCTTGAAACAGTCAATTCACTTTTGAATGGTAACTATATAGTATGATAAGCAAGGAATAGTATATTGTACACCTTGTAGAAAAAGCCTGATATTTCTGGGCTATTTAAATATTAAAGAGGTGGGGTGCAAGGTAAAACTGACCCTATTGATTCTAGATACCTACATATTATGTGACTTTTTCTACATGGTATGCACATATTCAATAATAAACTCTGTATCAGAACTGGATACCTCTCATACTTTGCTTTAAGATTTATCAATTATGAGAGTGTCATATTTTTTATATTCAAATAGGTTTGGCATGAAATTTTAGATGCTGCTGGTGCAGAGCAATATATTTTATCTATGTGCATTGGGGTCTCAGCATGAGCACAATGACTCCGAAAATCAACCTCAGAATGATGTTCAATCTATGTGGTCTATGCCCCACAATGAAAATGACTCGACCATTCAACCATCTATTAATGATATGATTTGGTCAAAGAAGAAGCCTTCTGAAATGGACAATGAAGCAACTCATTTAATGTTGTCCTTACGAGAGGAAAAAAGTACTTACTTTGACGGCAAAAGAACTAGAAAACTCAAATTGTGGAATGACATAGCAAAAGAGTTAGAGGAAAATAATTTCCATCTTGGGAACAAAGGAGGAGAGCGGCGTCGTCAAAAGTTTGCGAATTTGCCAAAAACTTATTTATCTTATACGAAACATCAAACTACAACAGGAAGTGAGAGAATTGATGATATTCCTCCATTTTTTGATGAGCTCCACTCCATTCTAGGTTAGTTTAATATCTTCTTTTACTTTCACATTACTATCTTAAGCAAGCATGTAGTATTGTTATTGTATGTTATGACTATATTTTAATTTTTCTTCTGTCATGTTTGTAATTATAAAAATTCTGGTATGAACCATCAAAAAACAAAAATGTGTACCTTTAGATTCCTTAGTCAAAACAGGTGGAAGTACTTACCAATATAATTTTTAGGATGCAAACATAAGGTAACCCCATTAAATCTAGAGGATTCAATGGATGAAACATCAGAAAGTGTGAAAAAAGAAATAGAACAGCAACAACCAGATCATACAGATTCAGAGGAAACTCAATTGGGTCCCTCAACAACAACACCAGTTAGCCGATTTAAAAAAACTCGAAAGGTAACACCTTCTCGGCATGATGACCTGATAAGAGAAATGGAAAAGGATAGAAAAATAAGAAGTGAAGAATTTAGTTTTTTGAAAGAACATTTGAAGAAAACAGAACAACAAAAGGACAGGTTCTTAGAAATTGTTGAGGCAGCTTTTGGGACAAAAAAAGAAGAAAAGGTGATACAAACGATTCTGACACTGACTAGGATTATTATCGATTAATATTTATTCCTTTTTGTTTTTATTTGAGTTTTTTAAATTGTGTAATAAATAGTTTCTTGTTCTAATATTTTAGTTTTATTCAAGGAAGACATTGCCAATGTGTAGAAGTCAATCCATCCATAAAAAAAGGTAAGATACCTTTTGTGATAACTAACAAATCTTGTGTGTAGAATAATAATTAAGTTAAAATGAAAGTAGAGATAAGTAAATTAAAATGCAAACCTATAATTGTGTTTTTTATTCAATTTAAATTGAAACATGGTACAATAATATTATTCTATGTTATATCAGCATAAGAATAAAGTGTCTGCAATTCTATTTCTTTTCCGCTTTGCTTCTATGTTACCCCTATCTTTTAGTTCAGCCTGATTTATATTTCTGTCCAGGTCAATTCCAAAAAAATCGTTACTCCAGGTGTCTTTATGCAAAATGCAAAAATTGTGTAAAACACATGCAGCTGTTGCAATCTCCACTGCTTTTCAAATGTTATAGGTATTTATATATTGCACCCTTCTCCACCTACCCTTATATGCCCCAAAACAATGTTCAATTTTTACTCTGTCGGAACTAAGACAGTAATTGTGAAATTTTTGCTTTCTGGTCACATTGCCGCCTCGGTAAGGAGTAATAAGCCAAGTTCTTAATGCAAATGCACTATCACCAATTAGGTGATATTACTGAGTATCCAAAAAGTAGAAGTTTGGCCCATGTCTCTCAATGTCTTTGCACATAATTGAATTTTCAAAAACCTGAAATTAAAGTACAAAAATATAACAAAAATATTAATGTTTTCCTATAATGTATTGTATACCAAAATTTAACTGGTGCAAAGCTTTTTTCACTTCCTCTTAAATACTAGTTTGAAGTTTTATTGCAATATAATAAAGATGTAATAAATATTCACTTCAAAATGGGGCGTTTTCTTATTTTTGTTAACACATACCCGTGAGTCATGAGCAGATCCAGGGTATCCTAAAAACAGATAGGTGAATAAAGTGTTAGAATCACATATTGGTATGAGATTTATAGATGTTCTTCTATAGCCGTCTATGTAGCCATCTTGTTGACTTTTTTCAACCTTTACAAATATGTGGGTACCATCTACTGCTCCAATAACTCCTGAAAATAATAATAAACTGAAAAGTGGAAACAGATGTAACTTATTAACTAAATACATATGTATATTCCAATAAATACTATTACAGGACAGGTTGTGATGGCATCAATTAGGACCAACCAAAAAAGTTTGAATATAATATACAGTAATTCTACTAAATACCTATTTGTCTCTAAAACATTAATGACTAGGCCTTACATGAGGGGGAAACCACCAAGGAAATATTGACCGGTTTCTGGGGAAATATACTGAGAACATCTGGGGAAATATAAAGTAACTATAGGGAAGTAATTGTGTGAAATGCAGGGGGCGGTATCACCCTAGGTTTGCAGTATTCAGAAACGTTTACTTACCTGGATACTTCTTGAAATCTTCACTAATGTCTCTCATTTCAGCTTCATTTTTGGGAAACTTGATGTAGGCTGATTTTAGTTTTAGCATGAAGTAGAGCACCTTATTTGTTATCTCATCACTGTTGTTGGGGACACTTTAAATCTAGTTCCTATGCTTAACAAAGTATCCTGTGTAGCCATATACCACAAGAATATTAAAATATGGCCATATAAACTCACTGGATAGTGACCACCTGTATATGGCTTTGCTAATATCTTTTTTCGTCGCTTTTTTCATCATTTCTGCTAAATCAATAAATGTTTTCTTTGACATACGGAAAAGTTCAAAGAACTGGAAGTTCTCATAGCTACAAATCCATGGTTCCACCATTAAAATTTTGGGCGTCATATCCTTTAAATTCACGACAAACTTGTGTGAACATAAGAGCGATTTTCTCAAATGATTCAACACATGAACAATATCTTCTGAGGAAAAAACATTTCTCCCATTAATATCATGAAAGTTTTCTTTTTTAAACTTTCCATATCACTGTTGTAGACGCACTGATTATTAAGTGATAATAAAAATAATCAGAAATTAGGTATAATATACGCGCTTTTCTAAAATAAACAACCTGCAACAAAACCGCGGTTAAAACCAACGCGTTCAAGCGATTCGAGTAACTGACGTCATCAACCCGTGTGTCATCTTAAACCATACTATAACCGCGGTACATAACACAGAAATTTTGGTTGTTCGCTTAGATTTGATTATACTCGACTGTAGTAAGACGAAGACAGTGATAGTCGACGCCATTAACGAGTTTGCGCAGTCAGTCATAACCAAGCATACAAAACAGGTGGTGGTGCGATCCATTTTATAAAATTAGGTGCTGCAAATAAGTAAGTCAATTTGTATCTTAGCATGATAAATGGTTGTTATTTTCCACACGTAATGCTTAAGGTCTATGACAAGCGAATAGCTACTAGTTCTGCTTGTTAAGATGTTTTTTTGCTTGAATTCGCTATTTTTGTTTTAAGTAGTGGAGCGTGTAATAACGCCCAGGCAAATTTGGGGTGGACGTTATTAAACAGCCTAAACGGGCGTTATTAAACAAATGAAAATATGATATTTTTTAACTATTTCAGAAGCGATTAGGCATTACGTTTTAATGTTTTCAAGTTCTGTGAAATAAACACTATCCCAAATAGTTTCAATACAGAAAGCCAAAAGCAGGAAAGGATTGGATGAAATCTTTCTTAAAAATAAACCCTGTTGTATCAAAAAGGAAAGCACAATTTATGATTCAGCAAGAGCGCAAAAACTGAATAAGTTTATAGTAGAGGACCATTTCAAAAAAATTGTTAACTTATTAGATAAATTGGAGTTAAAACACAAACCTGAGAAAATCTTCAATAAGGATGAGAAATGTTGCCGTCTGACCCTTCATCATCAACCTACCGTTCTTGCACAAAGAGGTGTGAAGAGAGTTCACCTTATCTCAAATGAACATGCCGAATATGTTACCGTGGTGGGATGTGTATCCGCCATTGGCAATCCAGTCCCACCAATGATAATTTTCAAGGGTAAAAGAGCTAAGGTAGAATATTGTGACGACTTACCAACGGGCAGTATAATAAGGATGTCCTCTAAAGGTTATATAACCTTTTATAAAGCACCTTGTCAGTTTTAAGCCACCTGCCAAAGTCCTCTTAGTGTTTGATGGTGCAGCATGTCATTTGGACTTAAGACTAATTAATGCCGCTAAAGAGCACGATATTACCCTTTATTGTCTACTATCAAACACAACGCACGAACTACAGCCGCTCGACAAATAAATCTGTGTATTGCTCTTATGAACATCATTGGGACGTAGAGTTGCTAAAGTATCAATCTGAGAATCCAGGCCGGAAAATTAATAAAACCAACTTCAACAAGATTTTTACCAACGTTTGGTCCAAGTGTATGACCAACTCTAATATAACTAGTGGATTTAGGGCTGTAGGGTTTTATCCTTTTAACCTCGAAGCCATTACCGCAACGGCGTTCGCTCCATCGATCCTGACGCAACGTTTATTGCCTGAGACCAACATGTCAGAGGACGTCTGCCAGCAACCCTCAATGTTCAATGGTGTCGGAAAAAATTTTTTTCCAAGAGAAAAAGAAAATGCCACCTCACACATAGTGCAGGGTGGCCCATAAGTCCTTTGAGCTGGAAAAAAAGGAATAAAACCAAACTAGTTACATTATGAAGAATTATTATATTTTGTTATCATCTTTATTGAATGGGAATTATGTTTTAAAAATCACATCGTCTAAATGCAATCCATTACGATCACGGCACTCATATAAACGACATCTAAAATTGACGATGACTGCGCGGCAAGTCAACACTGTAATGCTTGCCATTTCTCTTCGGATATTTTCTTTCAGGACATCAACTGATCGCGGAGTGGTGTCGTACACTTTACTCTTGAGGTAGCCCCATAAAAAGAAGTCCATTGGGGTCAAATCTGGACTACGTGGTGGCCAGGAAATGTCTCCTCTTCGAGAAATTACTTTGCTGGGAAAAAGTTGACAGACGACGGGCATAGAAGTGTTGGAGGTGTGGGCAGTTGCTCCGTCCTGTTGAAACCAGGTCTGCGTATTATAGCCTGGAAAATTCTGCAACGCTGGTGTCAAAAACTCTTCTATCATTGCTACATACCGCTCCGAAGTAACAGTTAATGCGCGACCTCTGTCGTCCTCAAAAGAATAAGGGCCTACGATGCCATGCGCTGACATAGCAGACCAAACTGTAACTTTAGGGCTGTGGTAGGGCTTCTGATGCTTACGCCTTGGATTTTCGGGGCTCCAATAACGGCAATTTTGTTTATTTACATGCCCGTTTAAATGGAAGTGAGCCTCGTCCGAGAACAACACATTATTGAGCGAAGAAAATCGATTCAACATTTCATTCGCAAAGTTTAGTCTCTGAATAGCATCATTATCTTTTAATTCCTGCACTAACTGAATTTTGTAAGCGTGCAGACGTAAATCTTTCCTTAAAATCCGCTGTAAAGATGTTCTGGGTACGTTAAGTGCACTGGAACGCTTACGAGTAGACTGGGTACTGGGTAGCATTTTGACGAACAGACTGTGCCACAATGTTGATGTTTTCTTCAATACGAGTTGTCCTTGGTCGACCCCACCGCTGTTTATCTAACGTCGAACCAGTCTCTTCGAACTTAGCAACCCAGTTCTTAATCGTTTGAGCTGTTGGACAATTTGTAAAATTGTGTAAATTGTGGTATTCTCGATATTTACGCCGCGCAATGGTTGCCGAATCATTATTTTGATAAAACGCGCGCACACAAAAAGTACGATCCGCTCCAGTGAAACACTCCATGGCGACTGAATTCCCAGACACTGAAGATACTGCCCCCACCTCGCCCGCGCCGCTTGCGCTCACCCGTTAAATTTTATTCAAATTTGAAATTTCAAAGGACTTATGGACCACCCTGTATATTCATCCGATTCCGAAGATGACTTACCACTTCAAGAGTTACAAAAACGGATTAACTATCGTTCTAGTACTTCGTTCCAAAATGTTCTGCCAACACTAGATATGAACCAAGCTGTTACTGTTAAACCACCACGGAAAAAAGCAATAAACTACAAAGCACAAACGATTACTAAGGACTTGTTCCAGCAAAATCCATCGAGTTCAAGGATTGTTCCAGATCAAGTTGCAGATTGGTATTGTCCAGCATGAGGAGCGTATTGGTCTGACAGAAAGCGATTTAAGTTTTGAATGCCCAGAGTGTTAGTATTTCATCTCATGTTTTTTTTTTGTTAATGCAGGAAGGCTCTAATAATACTCATTGCATTATTTATTTATTGTTCTTTTTCACTTTCAAGCAAAAAAAAGTGTATCATTCCTATTAAAAAGTTTTGTGCGGGTGATAACGCCCAAGCATTGAAGACTTGTTTTTAAACTGTAAAATAGTTTTAAGTAGTATATTTTGGTAGCTAGTTCAGTGTTTGCTTACTTTTATGTACCTTTTATGTATGTGGTTAATAACGCCCGAAAACACCATTTTTTTGAAATGGCATATAAAAGCCTTGTGGTGCTTTGAGAGCTAAAAAAGGCTGACATTTGTATTTATTTATGAATAAAGATGTTTTTTCTAATGCAGTAATTTATAAATCCTCACTCGTAATTAGCAGATTAAAAAAAGTTTGTTAAGTGGGCGTTAATACCCTCAGGTATCTTACTCTACCAAAAAAAACTCTTTCGGCTGTGATTTACTGTGTTAGAGATTCAAAACATCAAGAAAATTATATCCGAAAGAGGTTTTTTTGTAGAGTTTTCCTTATGGGTTGCGATTGTTCGGTCTACCTCCAGATGTTTTGACATCTTTTTTATTATGTAATCTGCCCTCATTTGCTTATAAAATGCACAGATGTGAGTTCATGTTACACGATTTATGAACTTCTCCATCACATACATACAACCGAAAGTAGAGCTATAGTCCTTTAGTTGCTTTATATCCTCTTGAAATCAGTTTTTAAAATTTTAATCAGACCAAAATGGCATTCTTATGGGTATGTTCATTTGTAAGGTCAAAATGTTCAATCAATATTGGGGTGGTTCAATTTGAAAACCGGTACAATATAGCCTACTTTTCCCTATGACTAAAAGTCAAGTACCTATATTTCCGAGACTCCTAGAAGCTTCTAACAAGACATCTGTGTCCTAGAAGGCCAACTGTCAATATTTTTTGATCGGCCTTACAATGAACCATTGGTTTTCCTGAACTCAACTGAAATGAAGATAAAGTTGAGTGTCGCACTAAGAGGGCGCGGATGGGGTGGATCGCTCCGTGCCTCCAGTATAAAGCCTCCAAATGTTGCGACAACCCATTTTATAATCATTAAATGAACATTTTTTTATAATTGCTTAATAAAATAAGGCAGAAGGAAGTTCTAGATTCTTGCTACCAAGAGACGATTTGAAACTTGCATGTTTGAATGCTTAGACCGATTTGTACAAAACTAACCGTCGATATGCGGTCATGGAGGAAATTAAC